CTCTGCTTGGTCCCTCCACTGTTTGACTTCATTTTCGTTCACCAGCCTGGAAGATGGAATCAGGTCATTTAAGCTTTCTTTGAGCTACCCGGCCCAGAGAGCAAGCAACTACCACATGTAACAATCAACAAAATGCAACCTGATGGATTTTCACAAGTTTATACAGAATCATACCAGCAGGCAGTCTGTTTCCAGACCCCCAATCCCTCTTGCAGTCAACAGATAATATTACAAATGTGATGTCTTATGCTCAAAGCCCTAAAAGGGACTAAAGAAACCCATGGGAAAAATCCTGGCACTTTTCTGTGGGTCAAGTAATACCCTCAAAACTACCAATCTACTTATATTTAAAGAGAGAAGTCATAGCTAAAATCACCGTTGCTTTTAGGGGTTACAAATTATGCTACTCTTTTCAGCAGGCTGGATTGCCACTCTTTTTTTTTTTTTCCCTACTTCAGTGGTTCTATTTTTCTTTCTTTCAAGGAAAGAGGATGGTTATCTATTGGGTAATATATCAGTTACCATGCAATGCTCATATCTCAAAGTGGCACAGCTATTTCCTATTACTGACAGAAAATATGCAGGGCATGCTAGGGATGGATTAGATATGCAAACTGAGGAGTAGCTATGAACATAGAAGTGGAAGATCTTGATATCAAGACAGAGAGAAAGATCAACACCAATATATTTTTCCATTATGATAAATTAGTTTTAATTTTGGCTCATGTCTGTAACAGTAGGGACTGTAAGATTTTTAATATGAGCGAATTTGGTTATACATGAGCCTTACGTTCTATGAGAATGATCTTTTCAGTAGATAATCCAGAAGGGCAATTGGTCATGCATTACCTGCAGAGGCAGATGTATGGGATGCAGAATCTGAAATTTTGGCTAAAAAAGGACTGAGAAAAGGGGAATTGGGATGAGAACCAGCACATGTAGCTAGACATCTCGACTGATACCTATCTACATGAAAAAAAAATACAGTAGAACCCTTGGCCAATTCTGTGGGTGATTGCATGTAGACATTTCACAGAGAGGTAAAAGGTGGCATCCCTTAGCAAGGATTTTGCTGAAAAATACAGGCTAATTGGACATAATTTGGAATAAAAATCATGGATCTGTAATTAAAAAAGAAAACTCCTCAGTTATGATATTTTATTTGCTAAATATCTACATAATTATTATATTTTAATACCTGTGAAGCAGTTAAAAACAATAGTGCAGCTTACATTTTAATTATATTTTTGACATTGAAATTTTCCAGTGGGGCTATATCTGGATCATCTCCTCGCTCATCCTGAAGAACAATTTGTTGGAGTATTCGGTCCAACAGCTGCCATTGCTGAAAGTTTCCTCCATTCCTCTTATCTGCATGGAAAAAAAAAATCAACTCATGAGATCTTCCATTTTCACGTCAAAGTGTGCAGACCTATCAACAGACTGGCATTCCTTCCTTTCCATTTCCCATCTTAAAACCCATAAGTAGTAAATCATAGAACACAGGACTTGAACTCTGCACCATGCTAGTGGCATATCAAAATAGAACAAGACAGGCATGTGCAAATCTGTGACTAACTTGCACATTCAGGCTGTGTGACTCTTCTCGTAACCTGCACTTTAAACCAGCTACTGCAGTGATTCGTGTTTTCTGGGGTTTGATATTTATTTTTGGTACCTAGATAACATTGTGACCGGGAACTACAAAAAAAACCCTCAGATTTTCTGTCTGCATACTCAGTTACCTGAAGGTCAATAAAGCTCATCTGGCATGAAAATTCATAAAAACATGACCAAAAGGTGTGGAAAAAAAAAAAGACATAAATGATCAAAAAGGATCTGATTCCATAGATAGCAAATGGAAGAACCGGGGAAAAAAAAAAAAAAAAGGTTCACTTTAGCTCCCTGAGTTTTATAATCTAGACCCTCAATTTCTTTAAAATTGCTTCAACACAATCCCAGTCTAGCCTAGCAGGATGTGATCCTTCTGCCACCAATAATATTCCAGGTCAATATCCAAAGCTCAAAACCTAAGGATTGTCTTAATAATAGCAAGGAGATCAATTAGACAAATAACTGCTTGAATTTGTACATCACTTCTATCTAACAAGTACCTGATCACATTACCTCCTGAAAAAAGCAGATATAGTATATATCTCCCTCATGTTCCCTTCTCAGTTCCTCACTTTGACTGCTCAAATATGCCTGAAGGTAATCAAAGTCAGTGAAAGTCCGTCCCTGACGCCTATCAGGATATTAAGGCAGGTAGTTCTGTGGTGCTCTTGCTGTGCCTTTTTTGGCTGCTACACTCTGGAATCATGACTGAATTATTTCATCTGAGAGTTACCAAGTAGATTCCTATCACCTCTCTTGAAAACAAATGCCAGTGTTATTTTTTATTTTGTGTCTGGGAGCCTCCCACTGTTGCATTGCCGTGAGTTAGTAGCCCAAAGCCTTGTAGATTTTTTCAGTGACAGAACACCCTTCGTTACTGTACTGCTTCTCTAACAAGTTCCTCACTGCATTTTGTTAACATTCAAAATGGTGCCTATTTCCGGGAATTCCCTGCTCTAGAGCACAAGAGCTCTTTCTTTTTCAAAGCTCCTAATTTAAAGCCATTAAAAGCTCTGTCATTGACTAATTGGAATGCCTCCAGCTACTTAATTTTATTTGCAAATGCGGAAAGGTCAAACTGCTGCTTTATGTATTGCAACAAAATTGGCTGGCTAGGATCAGTGTCAGATATCAAAGCTCTTAAGCCACTGTCAAGATCTGAATGAAAGACAATGTGAATGAAAGAAATGTGTATACTGGCATCTGTCACCCGTTACCTATACACCAAAGCTCCCCATTTCTCCACCACTCCTTGCTCTGAAGAATAGTGATGTACTCACAAGGCATCTGTAAGCAGTGCTGGAGGATGGATAACAAATAGGGATAGGCATCTGTATGCTTCAATCTCTTCTTGATCAGCTCAAACATCTGAGAGGCGCTTTTTGTATCAATGTGGATCTGAAGTGAGAGAAGGCAGTGAAGGAACAAGTAAGACAAAAAACAGGCACAGTGAAAGCCTGGCTAAATGTGAAAGGTCTGATCAACAGACAGGCAAACTTCCAGCAACTAGACTGTTACAAAGTTACTTGCAACATCCAGCTATAAGCTACAGTGAGGAAAAGGCACACAGGACTTTGCGATGAACACTGACAACTCGACTCCAATAAGGAGAATAACCTCAAAAGGATGAAAAGTTGGGAGGCAGGCAAAGCCACCAAAAACCTTCTGGATCAAACAAAACATTTGGGCCCTAAAAAGTGGTGGCACAAATAGCAGAAAGTAAGCAGAAAAGGACTGAATGTTGTGTATTGGTGTGCAGCAGAGGCCAGTCATGGACAAAGAAGAAATTACATCTTCTTTTCTGGGCCCTACAGTCCCTTGCTGTTGCTAGATGTTGTGGAAACTGCCCTTACTGTATGCTTGTTTTCACTGTTTTTCAAAGCACTGATCTTCCCCATAATTTCTGAGGTGAGAACCTCCAGGAGAATTTCCTGAGTTCTGCTGGGTGAAGTAAGAGTTCATGGACCTAGTGTCCTGTGAAGAGGGAGTACAAATCTAGAATGCATCTGCATCATCAGGATTGAGAACATGAGAGCAGTGTTGAGAACCTCCTCCGCTCCTGAACTTTCGGCCAAGCAAAAGCAATAAGTCTTTGTCAAAGACACTTGGCAGAAGCTGTGTCTGTAATCATTGTTTTCATTGTTCACACATCACAGATCCCTACTTGCTAAATGAGAAACAGTGAAAACAAGAGCACCAACCACTCTCAGCAGCCAAAGCCAATCCTTGCTGTCAGGGAATGCAAGGGGAAGTTGCACAAAAGATCCAAAGCAGATGGTTCAACTTTGGCAAGTTCAGGTACTCCAGAGAAAACTTACCAGATCAAACCGCTTGGCAAGCTCCAGGTCATCTTCATTTCTGACCATCTCAAAGAAATCTAAGTGCCTAAAAGAAAATGAAAAAAAACAAAACAAAAACAAAACTGCCAGTGTTCACCACATAATTCAGACTTCAAGTAAACATGCCACTGTAGAAGAAGTAACACCTCATTTCTAGCTAGAAGACTTGGAAATTGGCAAGTCTTTTTGCACGAAGTGTTGGCCTATGTCTTTAAGGCAACTCATAGTGGTCAACGACAGGCTGAAAGAAATGGCGGGCTGATGTACAAGTGCTCTTTAAATCCCAAGCTAAGGCTCTGCATTGAGGTAACAGCTGCTAAAAATGAATATAAAAAAAGAAAGGGATGCAATGTCTGCAGTGATGATACATTTTGAAAAAGCACACATCATGCTTGTTAACTAGATATGCTGAGCCATTTGCAATTTGTTTCTTTTACAATGTGGACCAATGCATTTCTTTCAGCAACAGGCTTCATAGGTATCTGTAGATTTGCCCACTGATGAGCACAGCTGTGTCTGTCTTGGGATCTGAGACACCTGACACGTGTTTGAACGCATTTCCCTTGCGTGGAGACCAGACCATAGCAGATGGTGTGGGAAAGACGTGGCACATTTCCCTGGCCTGACCTGGCATATAGTCTATGTAATCCAGGCATCTGGGATCCTCTCAAACTTCCATACCATCCTTATCATTATGATCTGTGAGATCCACAAGTGCCCCCTGAATATTCCTTGCTACTGGCCAGATAAACAGGGATGGCTGACAGACCAGACTCTCTTCTTGGCTACAATAGTGCAGATCAAAAGCAACATTACCACTGCAGCTCTGTGGCAAGCCATAGACATATACTCCTGCAGTCTTTTCCTTTACCATATCGATATATGCCTCCACCTATTCCAAGATGTAAGGCCTTTATTTACAAAAAGCATCTGGTGTTCAGCTGGTGTTTATGTAAAATTTATCACTCTACAACAGCTCCTCATACTGGATATTTGAAAAAAAAAAATCCCAGAGGTTGATGCCTTGAAAGCATAGGTGTAGATTCTTAGTTTTCCAGCATATACTTGGGCAAATCTGACACTTTATCTAGCAAGTCCTTGCAGATCAGTCCTGCACCATAGAAAGGGAAGGAGACAGAACAGTAAGGGATAGCAGCACAATAGCAGGTCAGTCCCTCTCCACAAACTGTTCTCTGAAAGTGTGTCTTACCTGTCCAATGTGGCATTCTCATGTCCTCTTAGCTTGTCAATGACAGGTTGAATTCCCAGCATTAGAAACTCGTATCGTAGGTGTAATCGGAACTCCAAATTATCCTTAAGGATTGAGGAAAAACAACTGAACAGGCTCCCAAAGTTTTTTTTTTCTATGCAATTAAAAACTTTTAATGCAGTTCAAAAGATTTGCTTAAAAACTCAATTCTTCCCTTCTTAATATCCTTTACCCTGACACTCAGTTCACAGGACCCCCATTCTATGATCCTTTATCCTGAATGTTTCTAAATAACCCTACCACCCCAAGCTAAACAAACTAAAAATTTAGGCATTTTCCTCTGTTTGCTTTAAAAATACAATCCTCATGAGTTTCATGCACCCAGTAAGAAGGGAAGCACATTCCATGTTGCTCCACAAAGTCCAAAAGTCATTAGTATTTAACCTGCTAGTCAGCTGGAGATCTTCCACATGATTACAGATATACAGTATTGCAGATTTCCTCCTAGTTTTTATTCATACTTGGCATAAAATTACCATCTGCTCTGGCAAACTTGACACCTGTTCTGTAAGGATTTACAGGGCTGCTGCAGATAGACACTTCCACATAGAGCTGGTATGAGCTTGGTGCCTCTTATGGCTTAATCTCCCAAAATACCAATATAGTATTTTTAGAATATATTACTTTATCGAAAGTAATATTTTCAATGAATTAAATCAGCTTAAGCCATGCTCTGGATTCAAAAGGAAGTGTTATTAATGAAGAAAAACAACAAACCAGCAGAAATTTCTAAAATATTCCACTTTGATATTTAAAATCAAAATGTTTGTTTTGTTTTTGAATTAAAACATTTCAAATCATTTCTGCATTGTAAACCAAATTTACTCTGCACGGATATGAGAGAAAGCAAATAGAACAGAATAATATGGAAGGGCTTCTTACTACAATTTTCTATATTATATTGGAAGAGACTGGGAATGAAATAATAGGGAAGGCACTGACAATTCGCCCTTTTTCTAAAAGCCATATTCACTCAATAACGTAAGATCTGTGAGTTAATCTGCTAGTCATTTCTCAGGTAAATTACTTGAAGAACAATATTTAGATGGGATTTCCAAGGCAACAACTCACCTCACCAGCACCCGCATTCAGAACAGCATTGATAAAGGACATGATGGCTGTTTTGAGATTTACTTCATCTCGATAACGTCCCATGCTTCGGTCTAGCTCATTCAACAAAGTCTGAAACAGAACAATGGCAGTGTTAAAAGATGTCACCAATTTCCTTGCACCATTTTGCATAATGTTCAGGAAATCTGCAAACTGTTTGCTATATAGTTGTGTAAAAAAGTAACTTTTTTCAAGCAATTCTCTTGGCAATTTGGGCTATGCCACACACACACACACACACAGAGAGAGAGAGAATAGTGATAGGAATAAAATGCCCACACGATCCTAAAGAGATTTTTTTTTTCTACTTGGGATCTGCCAGTTCAATTGTATGCGTCTCAAACACATGTGTGTTGCTCATGCAGTAGAAATGTCAGAATTCTTTTTACTCTTCCGAAGTCTTGGCCATAAAGGGAGAACAGAGACAAAAATAGCTTGTTAGTGTCCAACCCATCAGATCCACCTCAATAACATTCTGAAGCTATGATGCTGAGTAAGGAAGTTGTTTTTCCTTTAGTCAGCCTTCTGTCTCTGTCTGCTGAAAGCATCCATTCATAGTTAAATCTTTCCCACGCCAGTCATCACTTTCATGGGCCTGTCTTGTTTCCTGTAGAATGTGGACATGACCATCAGGCAGTACGTCTCTAGAAGGAGGGGGAGTATCCTCCTTGCTTCACGTGATCCTTTGCTTGTTTTTATGCAAAAAGCTTCTGAGCCATAAAACACTGCTACTGACAACTATTCTTATACCTCTCCATAATATGTTTACCCCCACTGCAATCTTGATTCCATAAATCTTCTCTTGCATCTTCTAAATTGCCCATCTGGCACCTGTGAATGCCTCTGGTCCTGGCATTTGAACTTTGACCAAATCCATGATTTCCCAGTAGCCATGTTAAAGACACTTACCTGCTGCCTTTCGGCTTCAATTGCCTCGGCGCATCGAGTGGGCACGGGTTCCATCACCCGGGAACCCGGGCCAAATGAGCACACACACCACTATGGTGGATGCAGAAAATGGCACTTATTGCAGACACATCCAAACTTATATAGGGCACCTGTGTGTGGAGGCACGCCCCGTAGCCCATAGCGTTAACATCGCCTCCCATATTGGTTGGCCTCAGAAAAATCCTTTATGCATCAAGCAATCAGACCACTGTTTTCATCCCTGGCCACACCAACCTTTCTTCCTACATATTCCCCCCTTTTTTGTTCTCTAATAAGAGAATCTCCTCTATTCTGTTGCTTCCTTTAGTTTTTCTGAAATATTATATGGGCACGTGTCCATCTCCCCTATTCTTTCCGCTATTCTTTCCGCTCAGCGCGAGATCTTCCGACCGCCGTACCCTACATTTACCCTTCAGCCAGTTTTCTCGAAATAGGAATGAGTCTGACATAAAAACACAATAAATACCTTGCCTATTAAGACTGATGGTCCTTCCAGTCCAGCATCCTATCTCTGACAATGACAATACAACACTCAATTTAAGGAGTCTTGCTATTTAAGAGGCAGACTCTCTTTAAATTCACCAGTAAAAATGAACTGTTCAACTCCATAAATATGCAAAAGTGAGACAAGGGAGAGAATTTCTTTCTATTACTTCCATATTTGTCAATGAAATCCAAAGCACTTGGACCTTCTTGGAATGACTTAAGTAGCCATTTCTATAGAAGCATCAAAAACAAGTCTGATTTTTTTTTTCTGCTTTTAGTTAATGTCTGGCTTCTTTTTAACAGGCCTCCCTTCTACCATATATTCTCAAAGATTTTAGAGAACACTCTGGAATCTATGCAACACCATCCCAATACAACATCCAGACAGGCTGAGGGAAGACTAGCTTTCTATTCCCTGTTTCAGAAGGCTCTAATAGGAACCAAATGCAGAGGGAACAAGTGAAACTCAGGGTGAGCGCAACAGAAATCCTGGGATGCACTAAGCTGATTAAAGAGCATCGCATCCTCATGCATTGCTCAGCTCTATATTTTCTAATTGTTCAGCTTCAGAAAGAAGCACTATACGGTCACACAGTTCCTAAGGATCAGAGTCTACACGCACACGCTGTGGCCGAATTCCAGTATCTCTAATGCTTTGTAAATGGCTGAGATTCAAGGCTTCACTTGAACATTTCCTGTGAAAGAGATTTCACCACACCTCTTGGCAGCCAGTTTTGTGGCCTAATTGATCTTACGGTTATAAAGGTTTTTCCTACTATTTAAGCAAAACTTTCCTCACTTAATCCCATTATTCCTCATCACTGACATCCAGTAAGGTTTCATTCAATATCCTACAAACCTCAAAAGGCTTTGGATGATCCTTGAGAGGGAGAAGCAAATGAGGTGGGAATAAGGATTTTAGTATGTTCCTTTTTAACTCCTCTCTTACAATCCCAAATTGATCAGATCTGTCTCTACAGATCATGCTGATGATCATACTGATGGTGTTTAATACAAACCAGGCAATGGGGACTCTAGAAGGAATGTTCCTCATGTCCACCTTTTCAGATGACAATATCAACCTTCCTTTATTCACAGAATCACAGAATGGTTAAGATTGGAAGGGATCTCTAGAGATCAGCTAGTCCAACCCCCCTGCTCCAGCAGGGACACCTACAGCACGTGGCACAGAGCCACATCCAGGTGGGTTTGGAAGATCTCCAAGGAAGGAGAACCCACAGCCTCCTTGGGGAGCCTGTTTCAGCACTCTGTCACTCCAACAGTAAGTAAGTTCTTCCTCGTATGTAGATTAAACTTCTTGTGTTTCAATTTGTACGCATTACCCCTTGTTCTGTTGCTGGTCACCAATGCGAAGAGCCACTGGCCATCACCAAGAAGAAAGGGTCACAAAAAATATTTCCTCTCAACTTGCAAAACTTTTAGTATGTTACAGAGGAAAACCAGAGAGCTTCACCCAAAGTAGCCCAGTTACTATTTTGACCAGCAAGTGAAACCAGCTCCCTTCAGGCACCACCTAACACCAGCTAGGCTGAAAGGACACTGGAATGTCTTAAAATACCTTTCTGAGCCAGTTCAACATCCATAACGTTGCCACATTCTTTTGACTTATAACAGGACATGTTTAAAAGTAAAAAAATTTTACAATGGCAAAACTCGATGCATTTGCTCTACAGGAGAAATAAAGGGAAGCAGCAAACATATCAATAATCAGGAGGACAACAAATAGTGGGAGAGAGAGATCGTGCTTCTTTCATAAATAATGTCAATCATAAATAAGGCAATGCAAACATAAATAATGATGAAATAGGAGGCTCTTCATTCCCAATCTTCAGAGCACTTCAGAGATCTCCATTTTCACCATAAAGGCACCTGAGAAACTCAAGATGAAGTGACTTTCCCATGGCCACGCAATAAGCCAGTGACAGAATGACTCCAGTATTAAATATGGATACCCAAGACAGAGAAGAAAACAAACAAGAATGCCAAGCAGACACCTCACCCTATTAATCCCACCACTTTTCCTTTAAGGATTTATTTCCCTTTTTTTTTTCTTGCTTTTTTAAGGAGTAGAGTAGACTTTTTAGGCAATGCAGCACATTTCAAATAGAAATCAGATGAAACAAAGGCAGAGCTTTTCAAGATTGCCTTGTAAAAGAGATTTAAGACATGTCTTATTGTATTACATGTATTATTGAGGCATTTGAGTAAAGATGAACAAAGACTCACTGAAGAGACTCCTTGGAGCATCTTATATAGGAACTAAAGACTCTTTGTTTAACACTAATGGGAAAGCTACAGCAGGCAGGATGACAGCATGAAAGAAGAGTCAAAGATAGAAGCAGGTAAAGAGATCAGCTCAAGCAAGAAGTTAAGACAAACAACAATAATGGGAAGGGATGTACAAGTAAATAAAACAAACTGGACATAAAGTATGGAATCTTGAAAGAAAAACAGTATAAAAGATGCAAGTGCCAGGAGAGAGATGAATAAACTGAACAGTGGTGATACAGGGTGAGGTTGTAGTAAATACTCAAGGACGTTCATTGGAGTTAAGTCTGAAGACTCAGAAAAAAGGAGCAAGTTCTAGTGGAACTCCCACAGTTGCATGTGGATTCTTTTCTGAAGTTAAGGGTTGGACTGATAATTGAGGTCAAAGTCGTTGTAGGTGAAATGTTGGCGATTTAGAAAACAGTAACATTTCACATTGGGGTTTCTACTCAGAACCAAATGTGAAATTTCATTAAGTTAAAGGAGAGGGCCCTTCATATTCATAAAATTGCTGCCTATATTTTCCATTAATTCACTTTTAAAACACACACACACAATAAAACAGAAGTACATTCTCTCCGTATTATTTCAGCACAACTAGAAACAATGTAAGCTAATCTTCAGTTTGTACAATCTACTGAAATTATATAATTTTAATTGGGACAACTTTTGCAGCTGTTCATATCACTGAGAAAACTTGTTCTAATTTGGATTTGGATTATAGATAAACTAATATAAAACTTGGTTATTTCTTATTCAAATCAGAGGAGTTATATCAGTCCACAGCCCCTATAAGCAAAATAAGTGTATCTAAAATCCCAACTTTCTCTTCTAGTTGAGCTGGTACTTCTGACTAAGCTAGGCTAGCTGTTGCAGGTAGCAGAGTTGCCCACATCTCAGCGCTCACAAATAGAAAATAATCCTGTTCCCATCTATTCAGTCACAGTCACTGAATCCCACAGCGTGTTCAATCCTAACGGCAAGCATAGGCACTACTGTTTATGAGCAGTCTGTTTTCCATTCAGTTTTACATTCTTAAGTTCACTGTAGCCCAAGATCCACTGATGCATTAGCTGTGGAGGTAGCAGGAGATAAGAGCTGACAGAAACCAGTTTCGTGGCCTCTTGGACAACCAACATCATCATTTCAAATAAGAAAGAATGGTATATTGGTGAGGTGATTCCAATGTTTAAGAGCTATGGTTTTATACACATCAACAAATTCCTATGTATCTGTTTGAGAAGGTGCTCAGTTCAGTAAGCGAAGAAATATTGTAACAGCAGCCAGCAGTAAAATAAAATAAATAAAATATTTTACAATAAAATACAATAAAAACCTATCAATGACGTACTGACCTACCTCAAGGTCTCTCAGACTAAGTTTCCTCTCTGTGCTCTGAATCGGTGATACCCGAGCCAACAACTGATAAGTATTGATGCTCCATAAATGACAAGTTGTAATTTAAGTACCTCCACTGTTGATTATTTAATCTACACCTCTTGCAAGGTCCTTGCATGGTCTACAAAATCAGGACAGAGGCTCCTGAAATCTGTGGCTTCAGCTTCCAAGACAAAACTAATAGCAGCACTCCAAAAACCTCATTGAGTTAAAGTATAAAAGGATTAGTACATTTCATTTAACATAGCATAATCCAATTTTAAGGCAAAACATGTGAGATTTTAAATTAGCATTAATTGCAAGTGTTCAGATCTTGATGATAAGCTATCTGAGGAAGTATTCCATTCTAAATCTAAAGGAAAAAAAAAGCCATTTTACTGCCTAGCAATGTTGCAATAAATGTATTATAAAAATCATTCTCTGAAGAGATGCATCTTGCTGAATATTTTTGGCAAAGTATGCTGCCTGTACCTGGAATCTTGTCCTTTCTGCAGCATAGACTTGGTAGTGAAGCATTGCTTGCAAGACCTTCTTGTGCCCATCTGGTACCAAGCAGACAGCCCCCAGGATCTCCAGCACTGCAATCTTGGTCTTGATGTTCTCGGTTCGTAAGCTCTGGGAGATGATGTTGATACTCTCCGGATGAGCTAGGACGTGAGCCCGTCCTTGGGAGTTGTTCATCAGTGCCTTGATACACCCTATAACGGATGTGTGAATACGGCTCTCTGAGGTCTCATAGTCCATGCTCTTCAGGAAATTCAGCAAACAGCTCAGGCCATCTAGCTCAATAAACCTGGTCACAAACCTGGAAAACAATTGAAGAAAACAGACCATGGGCATATTACTTCAAATATAGGCCTGCATCTATAATAACTAAGTAGTTTTTCACCTAAGGATCACAGTCTAATTCCAGGGTATTAAAACGAAGAAAAAAAATGCCAAAAGGACTAGCTAATACTGGTGTATCATACATTTTCAGGATTGCATTATACTGCCCTATGGCCCTGCTATCTTATCCCTGCGTTCCATGTGGCAGGCATCACCTAACATCTGCTGTGGTCCACCCCAGTGGGTAATGCATTTTCAAGATTGAACTGATTCTTGCATATTCCCTCAGTTCTACTGTGTAGATTTCATACCTTGATTTCACAATATATGTATAGAAGCATATTATATTGCTTAAGACAAAGCTCCTAGAATTGCCTTGGTTCTTTTTCTTTTTGAAACTGAAGGATGGATTAGGCCCCCTGTCAGCCATGCAGTAGCAAACATATGGTAAAAATATCATAAATTAAGGAAATGTAGAATTAATCAATTACCAAATGACAGAGCAAACACTAAATCTGCACTAGGACAAATTTCTTTTCAGTATTGGAAACACTAGTTTTCTGTTTCTACCCTACTCTATCCTAACTACAGAACCACATAAATTTGCCTTTTTTAGATGAAGAGTTCCACTGGGGATGGAAATAATAAAGGAGATTGTCTATTGGAGCAATTTAAAGTTTTCTTCAAAACCATTATTAAAAAAAAAAAAAGATGGATGATACTAGACAAATCAATAAGAGTTGCTGGAGTTCAAACTAGTGATTCCAGCAAAGTTCCATTCAGGCTTCCTAGAGGATTCAAAGAGATGATAAGAGGCAAATCCTTTCTCTAGACTACACTGTTTACCTCCTGCTTCCTCCAGCAGAGGCTGTTCAGGCACCTCTTTAGAATGCCTGAACACAAGACCACATTAATTTCATTCAAATTTTCAATCTACCAAAACTCATAGCACAATAATATGGTCACAGCCATGCTCTAAGCACCATAATGTAGAAACTCCAAACAAATGAAAACATTGTGGACAACTGTCACCTCCATAACAAATTATGATTACCAAAAGTTTCTATCTTCCAGTTTTCCAGCAGTCTACTGGATACTTTCTTCCTCTTGGATACTTTCCAATGTGCTGTCTCTCCGTTATCTGCTCATAATAAGTGAGAAGATGACCCTAATATGCACCACTAAAGGAAGCATGATACTGAAAGACTCTCTACAGGTCAGCATTCTCTGCTCATGTCTCTATACCAGCAAAACAAACCTGGGCCATTTTTATAGATCTTCTGGATAATACGGTCTTGTCATACGTATGGCAGTCAGTTTTTTTTATAACTTACAGCACACGGGAAAGTTCTGGGCCTACCTGAAAGTTAGGCTCACTGCACAGACAGATTCGCCAACTTTTAGATTACTTGGGCCAGCAGTTTGACCAGAAACATGGCAAAGCCCGGTGCTTTCAACCATGTTTCACTTTGAGGTTTGGGTTTTGTTCAAAACTGAATTTCAAAGTGAATATCAGAGTACGGGCAAGCACACACAGGAACATGCGCACACCAAGAATGAAAGTAAGGTTGACTTGGACCCTGCTAAGACAACCTGCCAAGTTTCACACAGGTTTGATTGCACATTCTTTGGACACATCATTTTGTCTACCTTAACAAACAACCAGAGTGAAAGCCCCTCTGCATCCAGGCTAGGGAGTGGGATCACACATCACGAACCAGGAATTTAGTAGGTCACTCAAAGCAGTTTGTTATTTTAACTGCTTATATAAAGATTAAAAGTTAGTATGGTTTCTGTAATGTATGTGGCTGCCAAAGACGAATAAAACAAGTGCATTCATGGCTGAAAAGACTTTCTGCTCTGAATGTTAGGGCTAAGGATTAATTGGGAACAAGTAAAGGCAAAATTCAGTTTGTTACCAAACACTGTGATGCCAATGACTTCTAAGCACTTCTCTAAGTCTAGTCCTGAAGAGCTGAGTTGCCATTCTGGAAGGGCCATCTTAAATCCTCCTTCCTCCTCCTCCTCCCCCATCCTATGTCTCAACTGTTCTTTCAATATCCCTTGTAATATTCAACCCTTACCCATTTTTTTTAGGCAAATATTTTGCTGTTGCTGTCAGTTCCAGGTCTGAGACAAGGCTTAAAATGTCTTTCTGTAGACAAAGAAGACACAAACTCCCCAAAGAAACACTTGAACAAAGGGTTTCTAAAACCTAATTCTAGATGCCTCATCTGTTTCTGTGACAAGACATACAAGGCACTATAACTTCTATATATTTGGCCCTGCTGTGATGACCACATGAAAAAAAAAAAAAAAAGTGAAAGGCACCAAAGTCACATTGTCCCAATTAAGTACAATTTCTTAATAAATCCCCTGGCAAAGCAATTCTTCTAGGACTGTTTGGATGAGATCATTTCGAAAATAAGGCAGGAAAATACCACAGGAAAGTGGTATGCGTTACAGACCTTGATTAATGACATAACTTAAAACAATGTCGGGATTTTCCTGTACTCTTCCTAGCCCAAAGAGCAAACAGCAAGCTGCACTACTCAATCAGAAGCAAAACCGAGAACCTTCTCATTTAAGCTGACATCAGAAGCACGAATGATTGATAATTTTTCACCTTCCTTTTCCCAAATGCTTATTTCCCTATTGTTCAGAAAAGTCAGAAATCATGTGAAAGGGAGATAATGAGAAAACTGGCAATTGCAATTTCTGGGCTGAAAAAAAAAACCCTCAGGATGAGGATCTGTTTGGCGTGGTCATGGATAGCTTATGTCTGTGTAAATATCTGTAAAGAAGGGAGACAGAAGTAGGAGTTTAGCTGAGTTATAATCCCCACACTGTTTAGTGTTTATGCGTCTCTATGTGAAAATCTGTGTCCATGCGCTCACTTATAGACATACACATATATGTACAAACAAAAGCCCAACTCATACATTATTAAGTACCTTTTTTCCTCACAGTATATGCATTTACGATTGTCATCCTATATGCCCCGTATATTGCAAAGTAAGGATTTGTTCTAGCTTGAAAGGTGTAAAGTTAGGCATATTTGCCAAGGCGTTCTGACTAATACGTTCAAAAATCCAAGAGTAAATAAAGCAGGGCATACTTTAAAAGGTGCTAAACAAGCAAATTAAAGCCTAACCTTACCTCAGACTCTCACTTGACCAGTTTAGCACACATTAAAAAACAGGATACCTTTCTTCTTTCAAGTTTCAGTGAACACTAGTCAAAACGCAGTAGTTAGCTAGCTCTAAAAACAAACCTTTCATTCAAATCTAGATGGAGCTTAAGAAGTAATGGCCCATTGATGGACTACAAATATAGTAGGGGACAGCCTCTCTGTGCAAAATAACACAGCTCAGGAAAGACAGAAGGATCATATGCTGTGGGTGTGCAGAGGCCAAGATGTTCCCACCCTAAAATGGCTAATGTTGCACTTTGCAACATCACTGCTGAAAACTGCAGCATATTGAATTTTGCTTGCTGGGTACGTACCAGCAAGCAAATGATCATCTCTCGCATGCACTAGTATGCAAGAAGACTAAACCAAACAAAAGTAATGGAAGATAAATCTGGGTAAAACAGAAGGACAAAAGCAGGCAGTACAGGGAATTAGTGTCGATGGTTTAATTGGTGCACACTGAAGAAGGTCCTTTTGTCTACTCTTCAAGAATTAAGGCAGAAGGACTTTTCTGTGGTTCCAGAATTTTCTTTTTTTTTTTCCTGTCGCTTGTTAGCTTTTACTTTCACTGCACTTCTGAACCTCCATTTTTGGGCACTGAAATACCAAAAGAAAAGCTCTCCTCTCACTGCTTCTGTCCAACAGTTTGTCATCACACTTGTTTATAGCCATAAGTTTTTACAAACCTGAAAGAAAATCTGTTTCCTTACTAGATGCAGATGTGTGGTTTTTTTCTGTTCTTTAAGGCTGAGTTTGTGCCTGCATGCTGGAACATACCCTGGCTTCATTATTTGAGGGCAGTTTCTAAATATTAGAACAAAATGCACTTGTTCAGAGTGACCCAGATAGTTGCCCGGAGATGCTTCCATGTTTTCCGTTATCACCTTTCCTCCAGAGGAGAAAAGAACGTGATTTTGGGAAGGTCTGCTTCAGTTGTGCTGCTGTTAGAAATTGTGGGTTGGAATAGAGGCACAGCTTGGTATTATTAATCTTCATTTTCCAGTAAAAGAAACAGAGTTCTTCAGTATAATAAAAATGCAGAGAAATGTGCATTCTTCTCCTTTTGATTCCTTGGACAAAATCATTCAAGAGGAGGTACCTATTAGGAAGCTGTCAGAGTCCCTATACGCCCTATCATCACAGAATGATTCCAGTCAGCCCACCCTACACGGATTTAGATTTTCACTCTCTATTTTCATCAGATGCCTGATGAACAGAAGCAGCAAGGAAAATAGGACTTGATGTCCAAATTCAATACTATGAAGACTAGTATTTTGAAGGCCTGGGTATAGTACTGCTTAGGAGAGGAATTTGATGGAGCTGAGGGCCCCTCTACTGCAACCTTTCCATCAAGAAGAAATTGGCTTGCTGATCAGGCATTGGCATGCAGCCCATTTGGCAGCTAACGAATTGAGTCGCTGGAAATTAGTTGAGACACAGGACTTAACTCAAAATTTGGCTTGGCTTAACTATTTAAAAAAAAAAAAAAGCCCCTAAACTATCGCCAACGATTTAGAAGAGAACACTTTATGAGGCAGCTCATAGATGCTTGTACTGAAAGCTTGTTAGGATTATTATAAACAGATGAAGCAACAGCCTGTTGTCAAGGGGACCCAGCAGAAGTAAGAAGGTCTGATCAGCAAACTTTGGCTAAAGACATTTCTTTCTCCTCTTTCCCTCTTTTGGCTTGTTCCCAATGAGGAGGCCAGGCTGTCCTATTGAAAATGAGAGTAGGACAACCAGTGGTGGCCACAAAGATATCCTTCAGCTAGACACAGCAGCAGTGCCTTGCTGCCTTGGCTATGCTCAAGGATACGAGAAAGCTATCACTTTCACAGAAAAAGGACCAAATGAGTTCCACATTAATACAAATGAGCTGCTACCTTATATGTCAGCAGTGCAGGCCTTTGGCCTAAAACCTGTGTGAGAGTTGGGAGTTGGCAGTTTGCTTAGCTTCTGTCCTAATAGAAAGACTGGTTGCATTTTACTGTGTTCTCTGCTTTAGGACAGTGACAGGCAGGATCAAACTGTCATTTGTTTCCTCCGGCAACTTCTCAATATAGGTCACTCTTTCTTCAGTGCCATATTAAAAGCACCACCCTACCCACATG